CCCCCACCCCCGCCAGCCCCTGCTCGAGCTGGCGTTCTGGGGTGGGAACTTATTGGGAAAGAGGCTGTGGGAACCAGGCTTGGGAGGACCGGGAGCGGACTGGGAGAACGAGGCTCACTGCGCCACTGGTTCCCCGGCAGGGTGGCGCTCTGCTTCTGGATCCTCTCCAACGCGCTGCTCACAATGCCGGCGCCGTTCTACGGGGGCCTGGCGCTCCTGGTCACCGGCGCCTTCGCGCTCTTCTCAGTCTTCGCCTTCGCTTCCATCTCCAGCGTGCCGCTCTGCCCCATCCACCTCGGCACCTCAGCGCTCACCACTCACTATGGGGTCGCCTTCTGGATCACGCTGGCCACGGGTGAGGACCGAGGGAGCGGCGTTTATTTATACTGATATGCACTTTGCAGTTGACACGAGTTGACGTAGCCTCTCTCGGTAGTTCATAGAGGCAGGCACTCTATGAAATGTATGTGTGTATGTGTATACATATATACACACATATATAGATGTATACACACACACATATAATATATACACTTTACAGACAAGAACTGGGAATTCAGAGGAGATGGGCATCTTGTCCCACTCAGCACGCAATGTAATCCACATTACAAGTCTTTCTTAGGGATGTGTGTGGGTATCGGGGGAGCAAACTGGAGGGAGACTCTTAAACGGAAGGGGGCAAACTGGGTTCTGGTCCAGAGTCCTGACAACCCCCCCTGCTTCCTTCCCGCGCCCCGGCAGGCACCCTGTGCCTCCTCCTCGGAGGGGCGGTGGTGACGCTTCACTACACTTGGCCCAGCGCTCTTCGAACCTTTTTGGATCACAGCGTCAAAGACTGTGGTGGCCAGGCAAACGGGGACTCATCTCTCGTCCTCAACAACCCATTGCACGAACAGTTCGGAGTCTCGTACTTAACAGCCACTACTAACCTGTGAAATGGACTCGCCTCGACTCCTACTTCACCTCCGTTGCCAGCGGGGCGGGGAAGAAGTGCCGGCCACACGATCCGATAAAGTCTCCCTGGGTTTGATGCAAATAAATTATTTTCCTTTTATGTTTAAACACTTTTTCTTCGTTAATTTCCATGGTGTCTGCTGGCTCTTGGGTGGGACGTGTCCTCTGGACACTTCGCTGGGCTGGAGGCAGCCTAGCACACTCTCCACTTGGTCAACAAACCCAATTCTCTGCCTGGAGAAGAGAAAATAACGCAGGAAAGGCTCTGGGAGAGGGCGCCCCCTAGCGAGCACGGAAGGGACTGGACCGGAACCAGCACTTTCCTGAAAAGGCCCAGCCCCTGAGGGCGGGACTGTAGGTCTGATGGATGGCATGTCGAAGTGCCACCAGGTCACCCTTCACTGGCCCAGCCGAGTGGGCTGGGAAGGGATAGCAGTTTGGAGTTTATTCACTAAAAGGATGTCCGGGGCCCTCCCTGGTGGCCCAGCAGGTTAAAGCACAGCGCGCTGTGAAACTACAGCAGCCACTGCTGACCCACATGGCTGGCAGACCCATCTTGACCCCCTGCTGCTCCCCTCAGCAGTGTATTTCAGTCAGTCTGCCAGTTCTGCGCCCCACTCTGTCTCTGCTGAATCCTCACACCCCCTGCACCTCTGGCTTGTACCCCAGTTCTGTATGCATAAATAAATAAATCTTGAAAAAAAAAAGTGATGTCTGTGGGCCAAGGTAGATATCAGCAAGGCATAAAAATGTAAATCCTGGTAATTTTTTTTATATCATTGGCAAGTACTATGCAATTTGGCAAATTTGAGAACTGAAGCTCAAATTGAACATGGCACAGTTGGTTCATTTTAGACATGGAGTGAGAAGTTTGATTTCTTTTCTCCTAGAGCTGTTTTTCCTAAGAAATCACACAAAGTAGGAAAGAAGCAAAATAATAAAAGGGACCCAGGACAAAAGGAAAATGAGGTGCAGAGGGATACAAGTAACCAGAGGTGAACCCACTGTACTACCATCCCTACACACACACACACACACACACACAGACAGACACACACACGTCATTATATGGGTGAAGCTGGGTTTCAATAAATGACATTGGGGAGAGGCAAAGCATCAAGGAAGTGGGGGAAGGGATTGCTGTGTGGGAATAGGAGCAGCCTTCTTGGTCTTTCCATGGTAAGGGGTATAGGCAGCCCAAGATCTGTTCAACACCTTAGGGCTTTGGTTTAGTTTAGTTTTTTTAACTTCAATCAGTAGACCCTTCTATCTCTACTTCAGCTACAGACAGCAGTCCTGTGGGTGTTCTGATAGTTTTTATGGGTGTTTGTTGAGATCTGGAGCCACAGTAGAAGTCCACATGGCCATCAGAGTGAGGAAGTTCATAGGGCACAGTCAGACTCAACGGGGCGCTCCTCATTGCAGTTTGCCACAGAAGAAACCTCTGACAGCAGGATGTCTTGAGGCTCAGGACTCTCAGCCTTGACTCTGTAGCGGGGATTCAGGAGTCCTCCTTCTTCAGGACTCCACTCCTGCACAGGGTCCTCCAGCACACTCTGGTTGAAGAAAGCTTTCAGCCTGTGGGGCTGCATCTTGTGGGCCACTGTCATAGCCAGGCCCAGCAGCACACAGATCAGTCCTGGGGGTGAGGCAGTGGGTATTCCATTATGTAGTGTTAGTAGCATCCTCCAGGGATATGGTTTGACTCTGTTGTGCAGAGTTTTTGGACTCAAAGTCCAGTATCCTTACAGTTACATTTCAGGAAAACAAAAGAGAGAGGGAGGGAGAGAAGGAGGAAGGCTGGGGGCAAAGAGAGACAACACTTTGAAAACAAAGAAAGCCTGGATGCTGAGAGAAGTATAAGACACACAGGAGGAGGCATGGGGAAGGGCATGAGGGGGTTGACACAGTGGTAAAGGAGAGAAGGATTCTAGGAATGGGGACATAGAAGAGATGGGGAACTGGGGTGGGGCATGAGGTGGAAAGAGTTGGGTAAAGATAGGGGGTGAGGGAATTTATCAGAGACACAGAGGAGACAAGGGATAGAGAAATGGAACTGGAAAATCTAGAGATGAGTGCTATAAGGGGAATGGGACATTAAAGGGCGTGGGGGAGTCTGGAGGCCCACAGGGGCAGACCATCAACCCCACAAACATGATGGTCCTTCACCCACCCTCCCTGGCCCTGAGCGCCCTACCCCTTCCTCCAATACCTGTCTTCAGGACTGGGCCTCACCTGTGGCCAACGTGATCCAGAAGGCAGAGCCATGGTGAGTATGCAGCGTCGCAGTGCCCAGGCGCAGGGGACAAGGTGGAATGAGTGACATGGCCATAGAGAAGAAGAGCAGTGCCAACAGCTGGAAGATGCCTGTGACCAGCAGCATGTGGCCACCGTAGATCAGCACAGGCATGGACAGCATCACGTTGGCCAGCAGCCAGCAGAGGAATGCAACCCTGGAGAGCCAGGACCTGGTGAGGACTGGACCAGGCTCCTCTACCTGAAGGGATCCAGGTAGAGGCTTAGACCTAAGGATTCCCCAAAGGTGTGACCTGTGGGCTTCCCAACCAAGCACTGGGTGACTGGTGCCAGCCTGTCCTCCCCCCCCCCCCCCCCAGGAACCTGCACAAGAAAGGAGGGACAATAGGTAGAAACTCCACTCCTGGGTTTAGACCAGCAGGGCCTCTGTCCCACCCATACCACAACATGGCCGAGGTGTAGTGTCCTGCCAGGCGGTACCGGCCATGCAGACCACATGGGCTGTTTGGTGTGAACTTCTCTGCCAGGTAGAGCACTGGGTCTGGCAGCCCCTTCTCCAGTGCCTTTGCGTACTCCTTAGCATAGCTCGCTCCCAGGTGCCAGGTGAACTCCTCATTATAGTTGATGGTCTCATTCAGCTGCTGCACTGGGGTTCCTGAGGAGTGGGGTGCCTGTGCTCAATAGGACTCAAAGGTCAGTGAGCACTGGGGCTCACCGCATTGATCAGAGGGACAGGAAACGCTCTCAATCAGGCAAAAAGAGTTGTCCAATCCTGGAGATTTCCCTTCCTACCATTCCCCATCCAAACGCCGATCCCCAAGAGCACAGCCTTCCCCTACCTCACAGGTAAGATCCCCTCTCACCTGTGAGTGTGATGTTGACTCCTCCCAGTCCAATCTGCAGCCCAATTTCAGCGCTGATCCACTCGGAACTGAAGGCCTTATACGATGTGTTGGTCCTCACCTGGCCCACAGACCACTCAGAACTGAAATTTACAGCTGGGGTTGGACATATGGGAGCTGGATATTACTGAGTTAGTCAGAGGGAGAGCTACAATGGACCCCTATCTGTTTTGCTCATAATTGTATATCCATTAACTAGTCCAGGGTCTAGCTCATGGTTTCTTTGACAACAATACGTGTGGGATGAATAAGTGGGTCAGAATCCAAGATTTTTTTTGTTGGTCATACATTGCTTACTCCTATTCTCCCCATTTAGGGAGAGCTAATCAAGAAAGTGGGGAAGGAAGTCCTGGCATAGTAAGCATGGATGAACACAGATAGCTTCAATGAGTAACTTTCTATGTCTCCTAGTTCCCTAATCCCAAAGGAAAGCAGCCAGACCCCCTCTCCCCTTGCTCCAGTTTCCTGAAACCCTCTCTCCACAGACATTTATTTTGACCTGCTTTTTCTGACTAAAAATCTTAGGAATTGGAGAAGTGTACCCAGCATGGTTTTCAGGACCGCACCCATCAGGCAAGAGTAAGAGTGAGGGGACAAGACCAAGGTGGAGGTGTATGGACAGCATCTAGAAACTGAAACACAGCCTGCTATGCAAAAACCAAGAGAAGAGAAGCCAGTGGCTAGACTGGATGGAGGCAGCTGCCAAAGTCAGCTGTACTTCACACTCACCCAGGATCACAGCCCCGATGAACAAGCTGGTCACCACCCGCAGCAGCCAGAACAGCCTCTGAGTCACAGGGTGGGTGGGTTTAGGAAGGAGCACCCTCTTTTCAAGTCCACCCTTCCTCTACCCAAACTTGGAAAGGCTATTCTAAAACTGAGGTCACTTGGTCAATTGAAATCAGAATGCCTGGGCCATAATAGGTACTCAATAATTATCTGTTGAATCAGTGGGTGGGAAGGTCTCTACTGGGGGTGGGGCAGGTGAGGTTTTCTCCAGAGGAGTCTCCTTTCCTGGCTGTAGTCAGAGAGTGTGCCCCCCTCACTTGGAGCTAGGGTCTCTTTGGGGCTAGCGTCTCTGGGGCTGGGGTTTCCAGGGCTGTTTCTCACCATCTTGCCCCGAATGCCAGGCAGGATGATGATGAAGGTGAACAGTGCTGTCAGAAAAATGGTGATGATGACAGACAAGGCGGTATCCATTGGGAAGGTGGACTTGGGGCCAGTATAGAAGGGGAACGTGTCTCCCAAGGCAGCCATTTTGGTTGAGGTAGGCAGGGATGTGATATTCTGCAACAACAATAGGGATTTGTTGAGTACCCTCTATGTGCCAGGCACTGTTCTTGCTGCTGGAGATAAAGCAAAAAGTAAACCAGACCAGCCCCTTCTTCTCTGGAGCTCACCAGAACCCACTATTATTGCCATTCCTCTTACCTCTCAGCCATCCATCTCCTCATTCATCAGTGAGAATGAGGGTCTTGGCGATGAGTATCTGCCACCCCATGCTCCCTCCCTTTCCAACCCAGGCTCCCTAAATTAGTGCCACCACGACCCCAGAGCTTTCTCTACTTCCTCTGGAATTGTCTTAAAAACATAATTCTCTTTTATCTCCCTCAGGCTTCCAGCAACAAGCAGACAAATCACAGAATATAAGGAGAGTGATATTTACTATGAGGTGAAGGCATAAAGGTGAAAGATGGTACAGGTTGTAATAAGACTGGCTTTCTTCCTCAGTTCCCAAGGGAACAAAGGCCAGTCAGTGCTGCTAAGTATTTTCCCCAACCATATCATCAAGGTTCTGCCCACACTGGTCTGTTCAGCTTTTTCAAGCACGCTGGCTCCTGCTCTGGAAACTCCAGAACAATCGAGCTGAAGTGAATTCGCCTCAATAAACAGTGAAGGAGCA